CAATGGGAGTCAATGGACTGTGGTTGAACTCAGCCCATTTCTTCATTGCTGCCTTCCCCTCTCTTCCACTCACCAGTAGACCAGTACGGTCGCCAGCAAGCTTACATGCTTATTTGTGTGTTCCCTTTGAGTTTCAGTCTTAGAGGGGAGTTTGTCCTGAAGGAACTTGATTGCTTGCCTTGATGGCTTCCTGGCGAACAGCTTGCTTATTCTTGTAGTAGCCAGTCATGCTGACATTTTTGTTTTGGGTTTTTCCTGATGATCTTTCTCTGAAGATGTATCTTCTGTTGCTCTAACTCTTTCAGGCTGGTCTGCTTGTCCTTGCTAATGGAAATGTCTCACCTTATAAGGTTCTGGATGGGACTCAGGATTTCACCTAAGGTCTTATACTCAGCAAAGGCTTTGCAAGAGGCCTATTTCACTGGGCAAGTTCCAGAAACCCTTTTAGATATTCCATTCAGTTATAGGCTGAAGACGAGCTTACAAGTTTTCTGTAATTATGTGTCCCGAAATTCCTTTCTATCTCACTGAAGTGTCTATTTTACAATAGTAGGAAAGGGAAACCAAGACTCATAAGACAGTCAAGCATCTTAGTATTATTTCCCCTCTTCAAACTATGCCTAGATCCATTTATCCCAGAGCTCTGTTGTTCCAAGTCTGAGTATGCATCAGTATTTACCTCTGTTCCACTTAGGCCATGAGAACCTGTCTCAGTGTTCCCCTATCTACCTTGTTCTTCCGCCTCTTCTTGTATTGCCCTTCCCAACACCCAAACTAAGTCCCCCACCCCAACCCCACTATTGTGGTTACCTTATATTCCATTAAGTCTTCCCTCCATTTAAGACAGTCTATTTTATCCTGAAATCTACCTGACTTTCTCACCACCTGGATCTCTATTCTTCTGTGTTTACCTTCTTTCACATTGTAATTGTTTTGATCATAGACTGACCTTCCAGATCCTCTGTTCTTATAATTTTATTCTGTTCTTGACTCTTCCATTTGTTGATTGAGTTCAGGGTGATGCTGACACATATGTCATTCTTTGGTTGTTGTCTGTTCTTGTTGGTTCTCAATCCACAGAACTTCCTTTAGGACATTTTTCATAGCAGGGTTGGCTTTGGCAAAATCCCTTAGCTTCTGTTTATCCTGGAATGTTTTGATTACACCATCGTATTTGATTGACAGGTTTGCTGGGTAGAGGATTCTTGAGTGGCAGTTTTTTTCTTTCAGGGTTTTATATATGTCTCCCCATTGCCTTCTTGCCTGCATGGTTTCTGTTGAGAGATCTGAGTTTAATTTGATTTGCTAGTCTTTGTATGTACACTTCTCTTTTCCCTAGCTGCTTTCAAGATCCTGTCCTTGTCTTTGATTTTGGAGAGCTTGATTATTATATGTCTTGGTGATTGTCTTTTAGGGTCTATCCTTCCTGGGGTTCATTGAGCTTCTTGAATGCTTATCTTTTTGCTTTTCAAGATGTTAGGGAAATTTTCTTCCAGAAGCTCTTCAACTATCTCCTCTGTGGACTTGTGTGAAAACTTCCTGTTTTAGAACGCCGATAATTCTTATTGTTATTCCTCTTCATGTTGTCCAATATAAATCTTAGACCTTCTTCAGATTTTTAAAAATCCTTTTTACTGTTTGTTCTTCTATCTTAGTAGTATTGAGAGATTTATCTTCCATCTCACTAGATCTGGCTTCCATCTCTTCAATTCTACTCCTTTGCCCTTTCAGTGTATTGTCCATTACTGATATTCTATTATTAATAATTTGAACCTCTTTCTGTAGGTTCTGAATAGTTTCCAATGCTGTATCTATCTTATTTGATTGTTCCTGTAGCACTTACCTGACTTCTTCCTTACTATTCTCAACTCCATTGTAAAGTGTTTTGATACATTGTATAAACATTTTTCTGAAATTCTTCTCAGGCAATTCCAAAGCCTGCTTTCCTTCTAGTATGGAGTGTAGGTCTACTGCTGGAGGTAGTAAAGTGTCTCAGTTACTTTATCTAGTTTCTGGACATGTGCTGATATGGTCATCTGTTTCTGTTTTGGGCATATTCAGTAGTTGGCTGTGGCCTTAAAACTTAGATGGGTGTGTATTTTGGTATGTTTTATGCTTTCTGATTGCCTCCAGGTAGATGTGATCACTCTTCTTCCTGAAAAATTTCCCTTTTCACTCTTCTTCCTGAAAAATTTCAAGATGCCACTCTTGGTCATTATGACATAATTCAGGATTTAATTTTTGGCCTGTTTCCTTTTTAGTGTGCCTGTCCTACTCTGCAACCCCTGTTCAGGCCTTTTTCCTAGTGATAAGCAGTCCAGGGCTGGCTGTGGCCGTTTTGTGCTGCCATTTGGTTTTAAGTGGAAACTGTCCCTTTAAATTTTGAGGAGATCTGTGCACATGTGTAGTAGGGTGGGGTTTCCAGGGGTGGGGTTTCCACTTGCTCAGGCACTCCCTCTAGTCATCTGAATGGAGGTGCACAGACATTGAAACACCAATGAACAGATACCAAAAAAAAAAAAAAAAGAATGTCCACACCTTTATCTCTGCGGTTCTGTTCAGGCATCTGTGGCTATTCTGATCCTTCCCCTGCTTGGTCTCGCCTAAGATGGCTGCTCAGGGAGCAGCTGAGTGCCTTGGATTAGAAAGCACTGGATTTCTTGCTTCTGCTACAAATTCCACTGGCTGTAAGCCTTCCAGCTTTCTAAATATTCCTTTATAGGTGGTTCAGAGTTCTGGGACCATCCCCTGAGCCTGCTTGGTCTAGTATTCTGTGTTATTGCTGACAGAGATCCTCACTGCACTTCTACTCTATCTGCCATCTTGTTTGTTCTCAATGTTTCTCTTTCTTCAAAAAAAAATTATTGTAGTGAAAACACGTAATAAAGCATATGCCACATTAACAATTTCTACATGTTCAATTTAGCAACATTGATTACAGTCTTCGAGTTGTGCAACCAGTCTCCTTAACTGTTTCCAAATTGTTCCATCACCAATGAATGTAACCTTAATGCCCTCTTGTTCCTGCCTCTTACTGTTAATTCACAGTATCGCAGACAGCTTAACATAAAAGATCATTTCATTCATACAAAGACTGGGAAGGGTCAGTGTATTTGCCTCCCCCATGATCATTTGAATTTTAATAGTGCTGATTAGAAAAGGCAGTGTGACCCTATGCGGGAGTCCTTAGGTGCTACAAACGGTTACCATGCTTGGCTGCTTAACAAAAGTTTGGAAGCCCAAGTACACCTAGAGGTGCCTTAAAAGAGAGGCCTAGTGATCTACTTCTGAAGAAAATCAGCCATTGCAAACCCTAAGGAGCACAATTCTACTGTGACACATGACTCACAATGAACTCTACAGCAGTTGGGCTCATCTGGACCTATGAGGAGCCAGTATTTGGGAGTAAGGGCTTTTCTCCTCAATCTTAACTGTTGATTGAAGTGTCTTCCTGTGTTAGCTTTACTCAAGGCCTGGTTTGATGTTTAAACAATCAATCTGTGTCCTTCTTTCTTTGCCTTTTGCTACAGATCCTGGGTCTACATGTACTCACATGTTTAATCATCAGATTTAATTTTCAGATGTCTCTATAGCCAAATAAAAATAGGTATATTACTGAGAAAATAATTTGAACTTTCAATTAAACTTCCTGGTGATTTGTAAGGTCACTATGAATCAGAATAGACTGGATGACAGTGGGCTTCATTTTTGGTGATCTCTTTTCTTATGCTTGGTGGTGCTGGAGGATAAGCACTGGACTACTACAAAGGTCGGCAGTTCAAACCCACCAACTGCTCCTTGAAAACCCTATACAGGGTCGCTATAAGTTGGAATTGACCCAATGGCACTTAACAACAATAACAACAACAACAACAACAACAAGGAAACAAACTGCTTTGCTCTGCTCTGTTCAAAGATGGCAACCAACTGAGCTGCTTTGAATGTGTGTTGCTCTCCAAAGTCCTGCCAATTAATCCAGCTTCCCACATGGAAACTTCCAAGAGATAGGACTGTGGCAGGACTTCTGTTGTTGTTATGTGTGGTCGAGTCAGTTCCCACTGTATAGGCTTTTTGCAGAGCAACACACATTCAAAGCTGACCAGTTGGCTGCCATTTTGGGGCACAACAGAGCTGTTTGTTTCTTTGTTGATGTTGTTTTTGTTGGTATGTGCCAACTCCTAGCGACCCTGTATAGGGTTTCCAAGGAGCAGTTGGTTTGAATTGCTGACCTTATGGGTCGCAGTCCAGTGCTGATCCACAGTGCCACACCAGAAGTCCATTCCCAGATTACTGGATGTTTTCATTTTGAAAGGATATTGGATTTCGTCACGTGTCTGTTGTGCATCTATTGAGATGAGATGATCCTATAGTTTTGTCCTTTATTCATTTGTATCAGGACTTTGAACCTGTTCAAATTGGTTCAGTAATGTCATCATAAACAAGGCTACTTGTTTCCTACTTGGATTAAAATCCCACAGGCAAGAGATTTGGTTGCTATGCAGTGTGTATGAGACCCTTGTTTATGATGGCAATTACTGAACCGTTTGGAACCCATTCAAAGCCCTGATTTATAAACGACACTGATTTTCATGTGTCGACCCAACCTTGTATTCCATGGTGTATAATTCTTTTTATATGTTTCTGATTTTGGTGTCCTAGTATTTTGTTGAGGTGTAAACATACAATTGTTGGGGTTCCACCTTTAGGGAGTCAGACTTGAGAGGTCTGAAGTGTGGCTTAGGAATCTGAGTTCTTATCAGAGTTTCCCAGGGGCTTCTGATGGTCTTCCAGGTTTGGGAAACTTGGTCTAGAACAGGAGATGTGTGGATGAGCTGGTCCTTGTCTAGGGTGAAGAGAGATTTGGCTTGTCAGTGGGAATGAGCTAGGTCACTCTGCAGAGGGACTAGGAGGCAGAGCTCAGGAGGGAGGAGCAGCAATGCTTGCATTGGGGAGCAGGGGGCGCTGTCAGCCAACTGCATCCCTCTCTCTTTGCCTGGCAGTGGCCCGGTACCGTGTGACTGTGTGCACAGGGGACCTGGAAGGTGCAGGGACCGATGCCAATGTCTATCTCTGCCTTTATGGAGACGTGGGAGACACGGGGGAGCGGCTGATGTTCAACTGCAGGAATAATGTTGACTTGTTCGAGAAGGGCAATGTAAGTAGTTGCTGTGATGTGCCAACCACCCTCCCAACCACATCCCTGTCCCTTGTCTTCCCTGCTCTGTCAAAGGAGAGTTTCAGTCTCCAGAGAAACTCGCTCTGGGGAGGAGAGTGGGGAACCTGGCAATACCAACAGCAGTCACTGGGGGCATAGCAGTGTCTGGTTGGCTTGGTCCCTAGGTATTTGGCTCACCCAAATCCACTGACATGTGCACCCTGACTAAGCTCCTAGGACTATCCAGCTAGGAGTAGGAAAGCCACCCTAGAAGGACTGTGGTCCCCCTTTGTCCCCAGAACTTTGAGAAGAGGGCATTTGGGGAGCTAGGAGCAGCATCTTTCTTTTTTTAGGGTCGCTGGAGAGGGACAGATTCATGAGGTGTAAAGGAGAGGACCCAGCCTGCCGGAAAGTTAGGGCACCAGACAGTCAACTGAGGACATACTCATTTTCTACCAGGCATGATCACTGGTGGTATCTTGTTCCCCTTCTGTCTGCTTTGAGGAGAAACCAGAAGCATGCATGAAACATGGAGGTGGAAGAACTGGGCTCCTGGCCTTTCTATGAACGTGTTGCGTATTCTTTCTGTTCCTTGGTCTTCCAAGTCATGAAATGGGTTTACACTAGCGTATGAGAGCAGTAAGGAGAGAGTCAGGTGGGTCTGAGAGTAAACTCATTTCCTGTATGTAAATAGGAGGAGGATACCTACCTGTGGTTGGCTGTTGTGAGGGAAGGATGATAGGTGTGTTACACCAAGTAACAAACCTGGCCTGCAGCACACAAGGTGCTCAGTAAAGAGCTATTGCTGCAACAATTTGAGGTGAAGGTGGTTCAGCCAAGCACTCACTACCTTCTCTCTGTCACCTTCCTTGGTGAGGCAGGGCAACCTGGGACAGGAGTGGAGGGCTCTCTCCCAAGACCAAGCCAAGCTGACCTTGCTCTCAAGATTATGGACATGACAAGGAATTTGAACAGAGGGTGCTGGGTGAACTCAGCTTCATCTCCATTTGGGAGATAAAGTGGGTGACTTTACTTCACTTTTATTTTCATCTCTCTCATCCACTTATCTTCCTCTTCATCTGTTTCTATGCTTTTCTATCTGCATCTTTTGCTGTATGATCTTGGCTTTGGAGGCTCCAGGTATGCACACGTACACCAGCCTCATCAATCAGTTCTAGTCTTCTCCCTTCCCTAGAAGGTACCAGTGCCCTTCTATAGCCAGAGAAGGTTAGCTAAGGAATTAATTCATGCTAACTGGGTTGTTGTCGGATAGCAGCTTAGCATGTATATCCTCCCAGGATAAGTTGCCTTTTAAAAGGAGTTCATGGGGACTAGCCATTGTTTAACTGAAAATGTGTACATCTTAAATGCTGGGAACTTGCCATAGTGTGATATTCCAATGATAAAAATGGGGTGAAGCTTGACTTGGTCTGAATCCCTCCACTTAAGCACATCAGCTCTGGTTTTTGTGGGTTTTTTTTTGTATTCTAGGCTTAGCTCTTTTGGCATCTAGATCTCATCTAGAGGTAGATATCATCCACTAGCTCTGCTGTCTTTCCCCTCTGCAGGCAGATGAGTTCACCATTGAGGCTGTCACCTTACGGAAGGTGAAGCGGGTGAGGATCCGGCATGATGGCAAAGGTGCGGGCAGTGGCTGGTACCTGGAGCGGGTGTTGGTGAGAGAGGAGGGCCAACCTGAGAGTGACAACATGGAGTTCCCATGTTCCAGGTACTTAAGTCCCACCTGCTTGTGTTCTCCAGCAGAGATTTTGATCTCCAAGTTTTGGAAAGACCCAGAAGGTTGGACGTTCAAACCCACATGGAGATACCTTAAAAGCTTGTTGTTGTTGTTGAGTTGGTACTGACTCATAGTGACCGTATGCACAACAGAATGAAACACTACCAGGACCTGCAGCAACCTCACAATCATTGCTACACTTGAGTCCATTGCTGCTGCCACTATGACAATCCATCTTGTTGGGGGTCTTCCTCTTTTTCTCTGACCTCCACTTTACCAAGCATAATGTTCTTCTCCAGGTCCCTCCTGTTAATCTGTCCGAAGAATGAGAGACAAAGTCTTGCCATCCTGGCTTCTAAGGAACATTCTGACTGTACTTCTCCCAACACAGATTTGTTTGTTCTTCTGGCAGTCCGTGGTACTTTTAATATTCTTCTACAACACGATATCTCAAATACATATGAGGCTATTAAAAATACCATGGCTTGGGTCAGGCGCACCTTAGTACTCAAACTGACAGCTTTGCTCTTGAACACTTTCAAGAGGTTATGTGCAGCCAATTTACCTAAGACAATATACCATTGAAATCTTGACTGCTGCTTCCATGAATGTTGATGGTTGATCCGAGCAAAATGAAGTCTTTGATGACTTCAATTGTTTCTCCATTTATCTTGATATTATTTATTGGTCTAGTGGTGAAGATTTTTGATGTGGTCTTTGGTCTTCATCAGTATTTTAAGTCCTTTTCACTTTCGATAAGCAAGGTTGTATCATCTGCATATTGTGGGTTATTAATGATTCTTCCTCCAATCCTGATGTCACTTTCTTTATGCAATCCAGCCTCTAGGATTATTTGTTCAGTGTACAGATTGAGTAAGTATGGTGAAAGAATAGAATGCTAGCACACTCCTTTCCTAATTTTAAATCATTCTGTGTCCCCTTGTTCTGTTTGAACAATTACCTCTTGATCTATGTACAGATTCCTCATGAGCACAATGGAATGTTCTGGAATATTAATTTTCCACAAATTTATCCATAGTTTGTCATGATACACACAATTGAAAGCCTTTTTGTAGTCAATAAAATACAGGTAAACATCTTTATTGTATTCTCTGCTTTCAGTTAATATCGATCTGCCGTCAGCAATGATATTCTTCGTTCCACGTGCTCTGGCATTTCCTGGTCTGAATGTGGTTTGAACCTCTGGCAGTTCCCTGTCAATGTACTGTTGCAGCCATTTTAAAATTGTCTTTGGCAAAATTTAACTTGCATGTGATTGTAATGATATTTCTTGATGATTTCTGCATTCCGTTGGGTCACCTCTCTTTGGAATGGGCACAAATTAGAACTTTTCCAATCAGATGGCCAAGTAACTATCTTCTAAATTTCTTGGCATAGATGAGTGAGTGCCTTCAGTGCTGGCTCAGCTTATTGAATGATTTCAATTTGTATTTCATCAATTCCCAGAGTCTTGCTTTATACCAATGCCTTCAGTGTACCTTAGACTGCTTCCTTCAGTATCATTGACTCTTGATCATATGCTACCTCTTAAAATGACTGAATGTCAGCCATTTCTTTTTGGTATAGTAAATCTGTGTATTCCTTCCATTGTCTTTTGATGCTTTCTGCTTCATTCAATATTTTGTCCATAAATCCTTCAATATTGCAGGTCGAGGTTTGAATTTTTCTTCAGTTCTTTTTCAGTTTGAGAAATGCCAAGCATGTTCTTTACTTTTGGTTTTCTAACTTTGCACATTTCATTGTAAATATTTGACTTTATTTTCTTGAGCTGCCCTTTGAAATTTTCTGTTCAGCTCTTTTATTTCTTTTCTTCCATTTGCTTTAGCATCTGTATGCTGGAGAGCAAGTTTCAGAGTCTCTACTGATTTTCATTTTGGTCTTTTCCTTGTTTCTTTTGTTCTTAATGACCTTTTGCTTTATTCCTTTATGATGTTCTTGATGCCTTCCCACAATGCTTCGGGTCATTTGTCTAATGTATCAGATCTGTTCTTGAGACAATCTCTAAATTCAGATGGAATATGTTCAAAGTCATATTTTGGCTCTCATGGACTTGTTTTCATTTTCTTCAGCTTCTGCCCAAACTTGCATATAAGCAATTGATAGTCTGTTCCACATTCAGCCCTGCCATTGTTTTGGTTGATGATGTGGAGCTTTTCCATTGCCTCTTTCCACAGATGTAGTCCATTTGATTTCTGTGTATTCCATCTGGTGAGATTCATGTGTACAGTCATCTTTTATGTTGTTTGAAAATAATATCTGCAACAAAGAAATCATGGATCTTACAAAATTCTATCATGCAGTCTCCAGCATCGGTTCTATCACCAAGGCCATATTTTCCTTTCTCTTTGTTTCCAACCTTTGCATTCTAATCACCAATAATTATCAATACATTTTGATTTTCTGTTTGATCAGTTTCAGACTGAAGAAGCTGGTAGAATTCTTCAACTTCATCATCACTGATTTTAGTGGTTGGTGTGTAAATTTGAATAATAGTGGTATTAACTGGTCTTCCTTCTAGGTATGTGGATATTATCCTTTCACAGACAGCATTGTACTTGAAGTTAGATCTTGAAATGCTCTTTTTATGATGAATGTGATACCATTCCTCTTCAATTTGTCATTTCTGGTATAGTAAACCATGTGATTGTCAGATTCAAAATGGCCAATACCAGTCCATTTCAGCTCAGTAATGTCTAGGATATCAATGTTTATGCATTCCAATTCGTGTTTGACAACTTTTAATTTTCCTAGATTCATACTTCATACATTCTATGCTCTGATTCTTAATGGATATTTACAGCTGTTCCTCCTCATTTTGAGTTGTGCTCCATCAGCAAATAAAGGTCCTGAAAACTTTACTCTGTTTATGTCATCATGGTCAACTCTACTTTGAGGATACAATTGTTCTCCCGTCATATTTTGAGTGGCTCATCTTCCAGCTTGAGTGGCTCATCTTCCAGCACTATATCTGATAGTATTTTCTTCATCCTGTTTCAGGATTCAATATTCTGGTGCTATCTGATAGTGTTTCAGGTTTTCAGTGACAGAATATTTGGAAGGAGTTCATATTGCCTTCTTCCTAGTCTGTCTTAGTTTGGAAGCTCAGCTGAGACCTATCCACCATGAGTGACCCTGCTGGTATTTAAAATACTAGTGCCATAGTTTTCAGAATCACAGTAACATGCAAGTCACCACAGTACAGCACACAGACAGGCGAGTGGTGGTTAAAGATAAACCTGGCGATCTACTTTAGAAAGACCACAGCCTTGACAAACCTTTGGGGCTCAGTTCTACTCTGCCCACATTGGTTCACCACTATCAGAATTGGTTTGGTGGCAGCTGATAGCAACAACAGTGATATTACCAGGACCAGAAAGCAGAATAGTAGCTCAAAGATATACTTTGTGTAAGAAAGAGGTGGTCCTTCTGGGGCTTAGATCAAACCCTGCATCCCCACCTGAGCTGTTATTTTAACTCCCTGGGAGAGGACAAACCAGGCCTACTTATCACAATTTCACTCCCAGGATTAGAGAATGGTAAGTGTCTTAGCTTCGTAGATGTTTGTGTGCATGTGTGTGTGGTGTGGTGTGTGAGTCTGTGTGTGGTGTGTGTATGATGTGTATGTCCCATGTGTGATGTGTGACATGTGATATTTGTGTGGTATATGTGTAATATGTATGGGGTGTGTGTGTGTGGTATGTGACTGAGTGTGTGCGTGCAGGTGTGTACATGTGCTCCTGAAAGCTCAGGGAGAGATTTTTTTTTAATTACCAGTCAACTGGTTTATCCATTTAGCACTATCTCATCCTGAAACTGGGCTGAAGTGTTTGAAGCTGAAAGGAGAAATGTTATATTTGGACGTATCTATTAATACTCCGTGAGTATTTAGGTGGGGACAAATGACAAGCCATGGTTTCCTTTTACTGCTGGGGAGGGATGGGGATGGGTAGGTATGTGATGGGCAGACTGAGGGAAAGCAGGAGGTTTCTCTGAGGACAAGAGTCTGCTGAAGTACATATGTGACCAGGGCCATACCACAGCCTTCTCAGCAGTCACCAGGTCAGTGGCAGACCCCAGCAGGACAGACAAGGGGCTCCTAGTGGGGTGATTTGATGAGCTCTGGCCTGTACCCATCTTCCAACTATCTCTTCCTTCCCCTGCCAACAGTGCTTAGAATCCCACCATCATATCTTCATTTCTAGTTGCAAACAGTCTAGATTCACAGCATCAAAGCCCATAGGAAGTGTAACAACTTAGTTGGTTAATATTTTCGTGTTAGCTCACAGACAACAGGACAGCAAGGTCCCATGGGAATGCATGATCATGTGTCTTGGGAGGGAGTTGTTGTGAGAAGGAATGAAGGAAGATGGCAGAGTTGCCTCCAAGTGGCCATGTGGGGGTTAAATGTTGTCAGATGAGGTTGGAGTTTAGTGAGGCCTGAGAAACTTACTATGAGGGAGAAGAGGAAGCAACAGCCATGGAGTCCTTTGATGGACTCTCTGGAGTATAGTGGGGTGGTCTGAGGAGACAAGAATCAGAACATAGACAAGTGGGGATCAAGAGGCAAACACTGAGATCATCTCTTCTGTTCTCACTGTAGCTCATCCCAAGGACTTGACAATTCACAAGTGCAGGATTGTCTCATTTCTCATAATGCTTAGTGGGAAACATGCTTCTCAGGTGGCTTGGTCCAGTACCTTTCCCCACATACTAACACATCACAGCTTTCTGGCTTCTTGAAGAACAAGCAGTTCACTCATCTTTGAAGATCCGATCAAAGCCCTTTCACCAAGAGTCCTTCCCTTTTTTCTGAATTTCGGTAGCACTTTCTTGAGTCCAGCGCTCACCTTTGCCTTGGTCTCCATTGTCTTGGCTACTCTGTCTGTCTTCCTAGCTGAATTGTAGGTTCTTTAAGGGCTGGGCTATGTCTTATTTGTCTTAGTGCAACTTCTCTGCTCTTACCCTGACCCAGAGCCCTCAGCACAATGCCTTGCACATGGTAGTCTTTGAGGAGAAAAAGATTCTTTAGATTCATTTTCCATTTTATATTTTATACATATGTTAACACACTGATTGCAGTCTTTTCGATGTAACAGCGCTCTTCCCACTTCCTCCCTGGGTTCCCTGTTCCATTTGCTCTTCTTTCCTGCTTTTCTGAGCTTTGTTTTGGGGCAACTGCTGCCCTTTTGGTCTCATACTGTTGATTGTGTTGAGGAGTCCGTTCCTCCCTGGTGAGATTAATCACTTTCTAGTCCTGGGCAATGAGTTCAGTTCCGGGTTTGAAGGGGGTCTGAGAGCCACAGTCTCAGAGTTGATGATGATGATGAAGTTCATGACTTTTCAGACAGATTTTTACTGTGATTCCCTGCCTACCTGTCCACTGGGCTCATCTTTCAGCCCTCAACCCCTCACCAATCCCTTCACTCTACCCCTCACTCTCTTTCACACGTACCCCCGACCCTCCCTTTCACTCTGCCCCTCACCATACCCCTCATTCTACCTTTCACCATACTCTTCACTCTCACCTTGATCTTATCCTTCATTCTACCCTTCCCTCACTGCATGCCATCCACATTGACTTTCAGGCAATTCCTGGAGGCTCTGCTTCAACCCAGCCTGTGCCGTGTTCTCTAGCAGACTCCTCCATTCTTCTTCTGGGTAACTCCTTGTCTCTCTTCTGATCTCAGTTCACATATCACCTCCTGAGGGGAGCCTTCCCTCCATAGTCGGGGCTGAGTTCCTTTGTCTAAAGCTCTCATAGAGTCATTTTCCTTTTCTGAATTCAAAGCACTGATTGCATGAAATATGTGATGGTTTGGTTGTCTGCGTGTCCCACTCAAAGAGCTAACATCTTGTTTGCTCACCAGGTGGCTGGACAAGGATAAGGATGATGGGCAGTTGGTCCGAGAGTTGCTGCCCAGCAACAGCAATGCAACCCTGAAGAGTAAGTTGTCCAGGTGACGGGTGTGCACCTGCAAAATAGTCACCCTCCCTCAGCTGAACAGAAGTCAGGCCTTCTAGAACGCAGACACTCTTCCCTAGCTAACAGTGCCAAGAGTAGCCATCATTTAGAACTATAAAATAAATATTTCTTTTTAATGTCAAATATTAACCTAAAAGGAGCCCTGGAGGCACTGTGAGTTAAATGTTGGACTGCTAACTAAAAGGTCAGCAGTTTGAACCCACCAACAACTTTTCAGAAGAAAGATGAAGCCATTTGCTTCTATAAAAATCTACAGTCTAGGAAACCCTATGGGACAATTCTACTCTGCTCTGTAGGGTTGGTAAGAGTCAACCTTATAGTTTTCCTTGCTGGCCAGATTTCCTCTAATGACTTGGTTTGATCCTGAATTGTAGCCAAAATTCTAAGAAACTTATTTATTGAATCCTCAACAATACCAACACTTCATGTTTCTCATTGATTATCTCTCCTGAGCTCTACATTAGCCCTAGAAGATAGGCAGAGTTGTTGTTATATATCCATTTGTCAGATGGGGAAACTGAGATCTGTAGATATGCAGAGTTGAGACTTGAGTGTTGAGTCTCTGGACTCAGATTAGAGATTTCAGAGCTGGGGAGGACCGGTGGATTTGTGTCAGTCTGATGCCTTCTGTGGACAGATGGCCTGTGGCTGTGGCAAAGGGACACACCTAGCATGTCCAGGTCGGTGGTCAGTGACAGAACTGGGACCGACACGCGGAAGTCTCTGTCTTGTCCCACTACTCTGCCCCGCCCTCCAAGCCCCTGCTTTGCCATATGGACAATTCTCCCAGGCCACCCACGTCCACAAGCCAGGGCCTGGGAAAGAGCTTGGTTGAGAATGGTGTAAAGAACGGTTCCTCGTTTTGATTCCTGCGGCCTGGTATTAGTCATTTCCTACAGTTCCCATAGAGGCCCCTGACAGAGCGGCCCTGCACCAGGCCCACGGAAATGACCTTTACCTGGGCCTGGCCAGTCTGGAGGGCTGATCCTGGACAGGTTACCTTCTCCAGATCTTTCTTCCCATCTGGAAGCCCCTAAGCCAGTGGTGAATGGCGGGCCTTGGACTTAACCATCATTTGCTTCTTCAATACTTTCTTTCCTTCCCCAAGACACACACCCTGGAAAAAACCTGTAGGATTTGGGTCTTGGTTTTACCTTTCGTGTGGGCATTTTACCTTCCCTCATACACTAGCAATGTGGACTTTTTGTGCCTGATGACATGGAGTATCCCCCAGCATGATGTCCCCATTAAGAGCAGAGGACTTTAGGGCCACATTAGGATTTCACTCCTGGATGCCCACTTCTTGACTGTCCATCTTGGATCAAACACATAACCTTCAGAACCTCAGAGTCCTTGACTGTAAAACTGGGCTAAGAATATATAGCAGTGATACTTTGTATATGAGTCCTGGTGTAGTGCTGTAGGATAAGCACTGTACTGATACCCACAAGGTTGGTAGTTCAAACCCCAGTTGCTTCTTGGAAACCCTATACAGGATCGCTATGAGTCAGAACCAACTCGACAGCTCTTAACAACAAACAAACAAAATGTGCTAAACACTGTTGGCAAAAGGCAGTGTTTCCTTTGCCTCAGTTTCTTCATGCATCAATATATAATTGATCCAGGTGATTGCTGTATATCCTTTCAGACTCTTGACTATTGGTATACTTGCCTGTGATTTGCATGCATTCCTGTTCTCAGCATATTCCTATTTTGTAGGGTAAACCAAGCAGGTGTTTGAATTCCCATCTTGTAGATGAGGGGACTTCACAGAAATGGAGGAAACCCTTGCCCCTCATCACAGGGCTCCTTAGAGAGAGCAAGAACAGGCTTCTGACTCCCAGCTTCCATCTCACTTCTCTGGCTCCAGCTATCCTCCTGCTACGTGCCCCAGGCTCCTTCCTACTCACCCTGCACTAACTAACCCCCCTCTCTTCTCTCTCCTGCCATGGTTACTCAGACTATCGCTATCACATCTATGTGAAGACTGGGGATGTCCCTGGGGCCAGCACGGATTCTAGAGTCTATATCAAGCTCTACGGTGATAAATTAGACACTATCAAGCAAACTCTGCTCGTCTCTGACAACAACCTGAAAGACTATTTTGAACGTGGCCGGGTGGACGAGTTTACCCTCGAGACCCTGAATATTGGAACTGTGAGTCTCCTTCCTGGACCACACAACATCGCCTCACCCATTCCCCTCCATACGTCCACACATACATATTCCTATGCACATATAGGGACCATTCTGAAGGAAAGAATGCTCTTTTGGGGGATGTCTGCAAGGTAAGTTGATTTCCAAATATGACCTAGAGCAACGGAAGACGTGTGAACAGTGGTGAAACTTTCAAAGTCTTTTGGGGGTGGGTGTTTGCTTTCAGTAGCAGTGGTCCCCACATTTCCTGGCTGTGAGAGTAGCCAAGACCAATGTATCTTGGGCACAGATACTGGAGAAAGGAAGTCTATGTTCAGGGAAGGAGAAAGAGGATACAGAAAAATGGAAAAGAAGATCTGAAGATAGTTCCCAGTTCCAAACTTGAGTGTGTATCAGAATTATGCCTGGATGCTGATTTCAATGCAGACCCTCATTCCCCACTGCCCCCACTGAAAGATACAGCTTTAGAAGATGGAAGCCAGGAGGCAGCATTTATCAAGGTCCCAGGTGGCCCTGCTGTAAGTGGCTCCAGCACTTTCCCTGAAGAAACAGGGGTCTAACTCCCTGATCATGAGGTTAGATCCTTCCCTGTAGATGTGGGCTGGGCTCAGTGTCACCTGACTTTTTCAGAAATTGAGGAGGTGACAAGGTCTCTGCAACCTCTCCTTTTCTGCCTGTCCCACCTGACTGCAAGTGCACTTGGTTCCCTAAGTCTCCTCTTCCATCAGAATGTGCCCTGGAGAGAGCGTCTGTGTCAGTCATTCACACCTGGGAGTTATTGAGCTTAAGTCAAGGTTTTCCTGTATCAAAATGTATTTGTGTTTTGAGCCGAATTGGCAGTTGTAGAGGGAAATGCTTTCCCCTTTACTGAAGGGTCTCTGGCAGCAACCAGCAGATAAATGAGACATCTGAGGGGTGAGGATGGCGGTAGGAGGGCAATTCCTTCCCTCATGTGTCAGAGACCCCCTCAATAGCAGTGTAGCCAAGTAGTTGGGAGCCCAACTCTTCCACGTACCTTCTTGTGATTTGCGGTCTATTACCTAATCTCAGTTTTCTCATTCACAGAAACAAGGAATGCCACAGTGATTTTTCTTGGTACTGATTATGTTAATATCACCTGCAGTTCCTGGCCATAGTATGTGCTCAATAAGCATTATTGTTATTGGTTACCATAGTGTTGGCTCTGAGACCTGGTGACCCTCTGTGGACCGGAGCAGAGTGTTGTCCGCTTCTGCACCATATTCAGGATTAGGGCATGCTTCAGCCCAGGGTTGTGGCTGTTGCGTCATCCCACTTCAGTGAGGGTTCCCTTCATTTTTGTTGACACCCCCCACTTTACTAACATGCTGTCCTTTTTGGGTGGTTGGTCTTTCCTGAGTGTGCAAAGCAAGCTAACTGAACTCTCGTTGGAGCTAAGGATCTTCCTGGTTATGTTTCTTCTAAGATCCATTTACTTATTCTTTTGACAGCCAATGTTGTTATTGTTGTTGTTAAGTGCTGACGAGTCGGTTCTGACTCATAGCAACTCTTCGTAGGGTTTCTGAGGAGCAGCTGGTGAGTTTGAACCTTGTGGTTCAAACCCATCTTGCAGTCCAGTGCTTTATCCCACAGTGCCACACCAGCACTCCAAGACCATGGTTCAAATGCATCAATTGTTTTTCTGTCTTCCCTTTTCATTGAGACTGTTTTTTGAGCAATTACTCTAAGCTGAATGCTGTGCTAAATTCTATCTAATCAGGAACTACCAATCTTATCAGATAAAAGAACTTTTCCATATCCTTACTCTTTCAGTCAGTCCCTCCCTAGGACATTTGCAGTTCTTCCAGCACTCCTCAGCATGCACCCGAGGCCCTCCCAGGCTCTGTGAACATGGCTAGGTTCTTCCAACAATTCTAGAGGAATTCTAGGGGAGCCAGCTCACTGAAGTCAGCTGTGACTGTGTATCCGTTACCAGCTGAAAAGAGCTGTTTGTCCTCGTAAGAGCTAGAGCAGGGCCTCATGGACACCTTTCTGCGTGTGGCGTTCTATCTTCAGCCATAGTGGCTAGGCAGCATCACTTCTTCAAAACTTCACAGAGACAAGGGATTGGGAAGGGCTTCTGATTTTTCCATCCCAGATTAGAATTGGCCTGTATACAGCATTTCAAAAAAGAACAAGAGTCATTTGAACACTGCAGAGCCATGTGTAAGTAAGCATGAGAGCCCAACCCTCCATGTTGGCATCTGGGATGCCCGTGAGCAAAGATGGTAACATGGCAAAGCAAGTGAGCTATCGAGTGTTAGTGGAAAGAGGCCTTTCTCAGGTGCCCAGAGAAGACACTGGACATGTCACTGCAGAAGCCTGACAGGGTGTCTGCATGTCACCTACTGGATGGGTAAGGGACCCTGTGGAGCCAGGGTTAAACACTCCACTGCTGACCAAAAGATTGGCAGTTTGAACCATCCCAGTGGAATTATGGGACAGACTTGGCCATCTGCTCCAGTAAAGCTCACAGCCTGGAAACCCCTACGGGACAATTCTTCTCGGTCATATGGAGTTGCTATGAGTCACAGTCGACTTGATGGCACACAACAACAACAAGAGTATGTCAAAGATGAAAATGTAGAAATACTCACAAATGGGTCTAGTGTGTTGTTTAAAGCCAAACCAAACCAATAACGCGAGTATCTGAAGCAGACGGAAAGCCTTTGAATGTGTGCATCTTTGTGCTGTGACCACCTGACATTAGTAAGTACAGCTGGAGTCTCACTTGCTTTGCACAGCTTCCCCAGGGTGGGTGGGGCCAGACAGGAGGTGGAGAACTCCAGGCAGGATGTGTGATGCTCTGGTCATCAGTGGCTGATGGCAGGGACAGGGCTGGGACCCAGCCTCCTCCTACTGAGCTTCCATCTTCTGGGGAACTGGAGACCCAGGCTGAGGAGAGTTGTTGGGGCTAGTGTTGGGGGAGGTAGGGATAGAGGCCTGGGGAGGGGGTGATTCTGGACACACTGATTCCTTTCATATCCTCACCTGGTTTTCCTTCCAGATCAACCGGCTGGTGATTGGGCACAACAGTACAGGCATGCGCGCCAGCTGGTTCCTGGGCAGTGTCCAGATCCGTGTGCCCCGACAAGGCAAGCAGTATACATTCCCTGCCAACCGCTGGCTTGACAAGGACCAGGCTGATGGGTGCCTAGAGGTGGAGCTCTATCCCAGTGAGGTCGTGGACATCCAGAAATGTATGGAGGAGGCGGAGATGGTGGGGCCAATAACACCAGCTCTCCTGTGGGATAGGACGATGGGGAAGCAGGCTCAGTGGGGCAACACAGGGCTCGTCTCCTAGAGGGGCTTTATGGGGAGACTAAGGGGCTTTCATTACCTCTGATTACCATGGTTCTGGGCGGGAACAGTACTCGTTTTACAGATGGAGAAATCAATTTTTTTCTGGAATAAAGGCAGCAAATGACTTTGGTAGGACATGTTCATACCCTGTAAGCAAGAGGAGCTTGATGCAGTCTATGTCTTCCCTTGGGAGAGAAAATGGTCCACTCGTTTGTTTAGTCACTAAGTCCATCTTGAGTATTTCTCTGTTGCAGCACTGCTCACTGGTGGCTTTGTGGAGGTAGCCACGAGCAAAGCAGAAAAAACCGCCAGCCCTCATCTAGGGAGAAAGTGAAGTGGGAGCAGGCGTCAGCTAAGTTGTGATGAGAGGAGATAGTGCTTAGGAGGTGATGCTTGAGGTGACCTGGTCACAGTCACACATGATGGAGGATCAGAGGGAGACAATGGCATGAAACCTGGCCTGGAGAACCCCTCCTCCCTTGCCTCGCATTCCTAAATCCACCTCACAAACAAGGCTCAAGATCTACTCCTCAGGAAGATGTCCCGAGCAGCCAATGCCAAGTGACTGTTGCTTCTTCCAAAACTTTGTATCTTTTCTTGGGCACATTTTATTTCCCCCGGTGAGCCTGTAAACTCCTGCAAGATTGTATCACGTATACATTTTTGCAATGGCGCTTGACAATATAGACAATCAACTCTTCCCCTCTTTTGATACGTTAAAATTTGATTTTCATCAGAGGAATACAGGTGCCAGTTAAGAAAAAAATGAAATAGCACCAAACTAGCTGTGGTCCAGTGAGCTGCAACTCATGGCAACCCCATGGGTGTCGAGCAGAAGTGTGCTCCGTACGATTTCAATGGCTGTTTTGGGGGGAGTAGATTGCCAAGCCTGTCTTATAAGGCATCACTCATAGGACTAAGCCTCCAATCTTTTGGTTAGCAGACAGGCACCTCGTCATTTTCACCACCCAGGGGCCCACTTGTGAAGAAAATAAAGATAAAAAGCAATCATTCTTACCTACCATTTTTTTCCTTTCCCACCCCCTATCTTCAATGGTAACAACTTTAATTATCTTAGCTTTCGCCTTTGAAAGTTAGATTCATATCTTTTCATGATATGCCTACTATTAATGTCTTGAATTTTCAGTCTCAGTAGCCATTGATTTCCTACTATGAATGATGAACATTTAGCTCTTTTAACAAACATACACACAGTGGCACAAACTTACTCTCCTTTTAACCTTCCACATAAGGAAATTGACATTTAATTTTGACATTATTGTTGCTGTGCAGTTACACAGTTGTGTAAGTTCTGACTCATAGCAACCTTCTTTAGGGTTTCCGAGGGCTTGAACTGCCGACCTTGGGGTTCACAGTCCAGTGCTGATTTTACAGCATCACACCAGGAGTCCATACATTACAACAATTCTGAAAATATTATTCTGCTGAGTCACTTCTTGTATGAGTATTATGTTTTTGACATTTTTCCCCCCTGGAGTTCATAAGAATATCAGTTGTTTTTTTTTTTATTGACATCAGCTTGTTGTGCATAGAGTCAGTACCGACTCGATGACACCTAACAACAACAACATATCTATAACTACCTTATCGCCATATATCCAGTAGAACTAAAACTTGTTTGATACATTCGTACCCCACAGGAATTTCCACACTCACTCTCAGCTGGGCTTTATGTATCTAGTTCAACCTCTTCAGTTCCTGTTTCAGCCCCAATGGGAGGGAGTCTTTCACACTGCCATGATAACACGAGATCCTTCACCTTTGAAAGTAACTGTCGCCACTTGAAAAAAACAATCACAATATTGTCTTATAACATTGCCGACACGTTTTGACACTTTGAAAGAAGAGGTCCAAAGAACATTTTACTCTCTATCAGGAAGAGTCCTCTAGTGGTGAATGCATGTAACATACTTCCACCCTCTAATGTCTTGATGAAAAACCCATTGCCTTGGATTCCATTACAACTCATGTCATGGCAACCCATGTATAAAGTAGAACTGAGCCTCATAGGGTTCTCTAGGCTGTAAGAGAACACCCAAAACCAGTTCAATCAGAATATCTAGGGGTGGAATATGTTTTCTGAGTTTGCTTTTAAAGCTCTACCAGTGAAATCTTTATGGAAGCAAATCACTAAGACTTTTTTTTTTTCATGGCACCACTAGGTGAGTTTGAACGACCCATAACTGTGTTGGAGTATCTTTTAATATCATTTGAATGGTGCATATATTTAAGTGGACATTATAGTTCCAATCTCTTGTCCTTTACAGAAAGTGAGGAAAAGAAACAAACAAATCACATTTACTTCTTTCTGCCCCACAGTGTTTGCCCAGCGTAGGTACAAACATGGAGTACTGATTACTCCTTATTTCTGGTTCCCTAGGAGATAGGTGGTATCGTCTAAGACTGGGCTCTATAGACTAATTGCTTGAGTTTGCCATTTCCGCCATCTACTCAGTTTCTCTAGCCTCAGTCTGTCCACCTGCAAAATGGGAATGATCATACTAACTCATGGTGTTGATGAAAGGCTGAGAGAGATATCACCTGTGAAGGCCTAGACACATGGTACAGCTCAAGAAGTGTATTTTTATCCTTGTTATTGGTATTCTTTAATGCTGTTTCTCCATCTGCCTGCCCAGTGGTCCACTACGAGGTTGAAATTTGGACGGGAGATGTGGGTGGTGCAGGCACCACGTCTCGAGTCTTCATACAGATCTACGGCGAGGAAGGCAAGACGGAAGTTCTCTTTCTTTCCAGCCGCTCGAAAGTATTTGATCGGGCGTCCAAGGACATATTCCAGGTGTGTGGGGAGAAGGCGGTAGGGATACAAACAGAGCCAGCCTTGGCTAGATATGATCTGGTGGACCTCGTGATGGTTCTCATGAGGGTGTTCTCATTTCCTTGGCTAACCCTTACTCATAAGTGAGGTGGCCTTCCTCCAGCTGCTTAAGGACAGTTGGAAAATGCTTGGGACAAGTTGGACAAGGAATCCCTTAGCACCCAGAGGGGATTCCGGGGGGCAGTGGGAGTGGGACGACTAGTATTCTCAGCCAAGTTCTACCCTGTGAGCTTGAGCACTTACCCCCTGCATCTGGATCTGAGTTTCTGGCCTGAAAATGATGAGACTGGTCTAGCTGAGTGGTTGTCATCCCTGGCCTTGTGTTAGAAACAGTTGGGGGAGCTTTAAGAAAAAAGATTTACTTGCTCCACGCCCAAGACCAGTTCAATCAGAATCTTTAGGGCTGGAATATGTTTTTTGAGTTTGCTTTTACAGCTCTACCAGTGATACTAATGACCATGAATTTTGAGATTCATTGGAATTGCTGATTTTAACAAACTGAGTAAAATAAGGCACTATGTTACTCCATCCACTCCCAGTTCTGATAGGGTCATGATTCTCAGGCAAGATAGTAGGAGACTTTGGAGTGAGTGCCCCAGGTCTCCTCATTTCCCACTGCAAGTGTTTGGGTAGAGGAATAAAAGAAGAGAATGTAAGTGTATCATTTGAAGGGAGAAGGGTGCAAGGCTGGAGATTTTATTGGACCTGAATGTGTGTGTGTATGTGTGTTCAGGGAACATGTCCATGCTGGGTTCTCGGAAGAACCCTCCGAGGTGAATCCTAACCCAATGCTCAGAACAGGAAGTCCTGGCTGTGTTGAGATCTGAGCCAGGTTCATACGTGTACAGATTGTTAGAGCAGGAGATCTTGTGAGTCTAACTCCCTCATTATACTGCTCAGAGGATGCAGCCCTAGGATTTTACCTGTCTGAGCCTCAGTTCTTCAACATTAAAACCTAGCTCTGTAGCACCTGCCTGGCCATCACCATGGAGTTCCTGGATGATCAAGGCAGTCAATGCTGGGGAGAGCTCTCAGGGACTTGTGATGAGTTACTGAGATGTAGCAGAGGAGTACTTCTGGGGGTCTACTGACCATATGGCTGGGCACACACTCTCAAGGAGGGCAGGGATGTCTACTGACCACATGGCTGGGCACACAGTCTCAAGGAGGGCAGGGATGTCTACTGACCACAAGGCTGGGCACACAGTCTCAAGGAGGGCAGGGATGTCTACTGACCACAAGGCTGGGCACACAGTCTCAAGGAGGGCAGGGATGGTAAGCAGGCCTCCCTGGAAAGGTGTGACAGCAGGGGTGTGGTGGTCTGGGAAACACTGGGTCTAATGCGCTGTAAAGTGCCCAGTACCTAAGTAGCTGAGAAGTATAAATTGCACTTCCCCAGCTGCCTTGAACACCATCTTGGCTGGTGATTTTCTTAAAAAGAATGGTTTTGGCCACATCATGGATTTGTGAACAGGAATCAGAAGAGCCGGATTCTTCTCTAGGTCTAGACCTTAATTGTGGGACACTGAGCACCTCAGCGGGGAAGGGAAAGTCTTGGGCCTCAGTTTCTCAAATGGGATCATGGAGAGACCTGGCTTTGAGCAGTGTCAAACAACCAGACAAGGACCCTCAGCACTCGGAACACCGAGAGAGGTCCAGCCTGCCAGTAGCCTCTGCAAGCACTCAATGCAGACCCTTCTTTTTAGTGCCGGTGGGGTTAAGGTCAAAGATCTCATTTGTTGAAGTAACGCTGAATCCATCAACACTGCCCTTCAACCAGCCATGTGTTAGGTTGGGCCGGGGAGAGAAACGAAAACGGACGTCTTGTCTTTAGGGAATTCACAGTTGACACGGGAAAGAAGGCTAGCTGTGTGGGTCAAGAGCGAGATGGCAGCCTGGCTAAGGGCTCTGCTGACCCCAGGAAGGGAGAGGCAGGCAGGCTGAGGTGGTGTATAGGTGAAGGGGGCCTGGGGCCTCAGAGAGCCTGGGTGAGAGTTTTTGTTTTTGAAAAAAGCACTTTTTAAACTTTTTGCTTGATATAAAAGTTGTATGTGCTTAATGCTGATAACATGAAATGCACAAAGTTTTATTGTGTAAAAAGTGATAATGAAACCCTGGAATCTGAACGAATAGGTTTTAGTTAAAGGTGGAGGAGGGAATACAAGGCAGTTTCGGTGAGGGCACTATATGAGCAAAGGCATGGATGTAGGAACAGGTGTAATGTGTGAGTGTGTGTGTGTGTGAGAGTATGTGTGAGAGGCACACAGAGGAACAGGGAGGTCAGTTTCACTACCACACAGGTTTAGAAGGTGCTTCCATTGAGCATGAGGGAAAACTGAGGTTCAGGCTTGTCCCGTGACTCTCTCAGTGTCCCAAGTGAGGTTGCAGTGATGGCAGGCTGGGCCTGGTAGACCGGCCCCATGTGACAGGAGAGAGAGAGCAGGTGTAAGCACCTGACCATGGGGGCCCAGTGTCTCCTGCAGATAGAACTCTGCACTCAGAGGCTGACTTTGCAGGGGAGGGGGCAGGATGCCAGGGCCCTCCAGCCACTGACCTGCACTTTGCACAGCTGGAGGCTGCAGATGTGGGCGAGATCTACAAGGTCCGGCTTGGGCACACAGGCGAGGGCTTTGGGCCCAGCTGGTACGTGGACATGGTGTGGCTGCGGCACCTGGTGGTTCAGGAAGAGGACCTCACGCCCGAAGAGGAGGCCCGGAAGAAGAAGGAGAAGGCCAAGCTGCAGCAGGTGCTGAGGAAGGAGCGGCTGAAGGCCAAGCTGCAGAGGAGGAAGAGGAAGAAGAAGAAGGAGAAGGAGAAGGCCAAGCTGCAGCAGGTGCTGAGGAAGGAGCGGCTGAAGGCCAAGCTGCAGAGGAGGAAGAGGAAGAAGAAGAAGGAGAGCAGCGATGAGGAGGACGAGGAGGATGAGGATGAGGAGTCGTCATCTGAGGAGTCGTCAGAGGAGGAGGAAGAGGAGGAGAGTGAGGAGGAGGAGGAAGAGGAGGCGATCGGGCCAGGGATGCAGGAGGTGATTGAAGAGTACAAGTTTGACGCCCACCGCTGGCTGGCCCGGGGCAAGGAGGACAATGAACTCATGGTGGAGCTGGTACCGGCTGGTCGGTCAGGTCCTAAGCGTAAGCCCGAGGAAGGGGTCCCCACAGGGTCTCGGGGGGTGGCCCCTCACCTAACTCCCCTCTCACATGGGCAGTTCATGTGCAGGCTGACTAGGTGACCAGTTTATGATGGTTCCCACATAATTCTCCTGACCTGAAATACCGCCATGAGCAAGTCTCTGTCTGGGGTTGAGCACTGCCGTGGACCCGAGGGTCCCTGGAGAAATCGGACTCAGGAGGGGCCCTGATATACCTTGCTATCACTAAATGTGGACAACACTAATTGGGGGGACTGCTGAGAGCTCATTTGTCATGCCTCTCAGTCTCTTGGCCTCTTGGTCAAGGAAAAGTTGGGGTGCAGAGAACGAGTGTTCAGTCCCAGGCGGGTGTAGATGTGCACAGAGGTCTTTCCTGCTCGCAGAATCTGGCCGGAACTAACAGAGTGTGCCAAGTCCACGTCGCGGTCATTCCATCCTCAGTGCTGCTTCTTTTTCTGTCCCCAGCCAACACCTATGAGGTCCAGGTGATCACAGGGAACGTGCCCAAGGCCGGCACTGATGCCAACGTTTACCTGACCATCTATGGCGAGGAGTATGGGGACACGGGTGAACGACCCCTGAAGAAGTCTGACAAATCCAACAAGTTTGAGCAGGGTCAGGTAGAGCTGGGGTCCCTGGGTGGTCAGTGGGGTGTGTGCTCCAACCATTCCCACATCAGCCCAGCCCAGCACAGTGTCTGTGGGTGTCCAGTTCACTTTAATGAGGTTTTGTATAAGTAACCACCCTGTAACCACCAACTCTTGGTGGTGAGGGTACAAGCAAAGTACAAGTGGCATGATGGTTCCTGTAGAGCTCACAGACTAGATGACCTGAAGAAATAGTAACCGGTAGCAGATGCCCCAGGACTGAGTTGGTGAAGCAAGCAGTTAGGGTTGCAGGGTTGATGATACTTTGTGCATTGTTGAGCCATAGTGGGTAGTAATCATCCAGTTGCTGACAAGTTGATTCTGACTCATGGAGACTCCACATGCGTCAAGTAGAACTGTGCTCCGCAGAGTTTTCAATGACTGATATTTTGGAAGTCATTTACCAGGCCTTTCTTCTGAGATGCCTCTTGGTGTACTTGAACCACCAGCCTTTTGGTTAACAGTCAAGTACATTAACTATTGACACCATAGTGGTGGTACCACTCGAGAAAGTGTGGATGAGGCCAGATCAGTGCAGGATGTGTGTGTGTTGTGAGAACTCTTGTAAGGCAGGAAGAGAAGTCTGAACTGCAGCCTGAGACCTTGGGAGCCACTGGAGGCTTTTGAGCATTGAAAGAAATGCATGTACCTCCCTCTTCCAGAGTCGTGGGGGAAGCATGGAAAACAAAGCTATGACCTTTGTCTATCAACACTTCACAACATCCAAGTAGATGACTATCGCTTGTCACCTTTCCAATTCCTGTCCTCACCCTAAGCCAGGGTCACAGAGGAAGAAAAGCCGAAACGAAATCCGTTAAGATACTTCTGGGCTCCCTGTTTGATCTCTCTCAGGACCCCTGCTTTTTTTCTCATTGCTCACTTCCATGACTTAAAGATCAGGTTTATTTCTGCAGTTTAAGGCTTGCCTTTTAAAATGACCTAGATTGAAAAAAAGAAGTTGTTCTAGAGGACACAATTGCAACAGTTGGAGCTATTTGAATGTGGATAATATATTAAGTAATGATATTGCTGTTGTTAAGTGCCGTTGAGTTGGTTCTGACTCATGGTGACCCTTGTATAGATAGGGTTTCTGAGGAGCAGTTGGTGGGTTTGAACTGCCAACCTTATAGTTCAAACTGACCTGGAGGCCCAGTGCTTTATCCCACAGCACTATACCAGGACTCTATTACTAGGTAATAAATAGTATTGTGTTAATGGTAGCACAGTGGCTCTGTAGTATAAGCACTGGACTGCAAACCACAAGGTCAGCGATTTGAACCCACCAGCCACTCCGCGGGAGGAAGATGAGGCCTTGTGCTCCCACAAAGATCTACAGCCTTAGAAACCCTGTACAGGGTCAACATGAGTTGGAACTGACTCAATGGCACTTAACAACAACAACATCACATTAATGTTCCAAATCCTGAATTTAATCATTACACTGTGATTATATAAGGGAATGTCCTTTTTCTTAGGAAATCAAGGCTGAAGCATTTAGGGGTAAAGAATCATAGTACTTGCTATTCATTTTCAAAGGATCAAGAAAAAAACACGTAGAGGAAGAGTGAAGGGAGAATGATGAAAAGCATGCAAAAGTTTACTGTACGATTTCTGTAAACTTCTGTTGGCTTGATGTCTTCTTCAAAATGAAGAGTTAACATTAGAGCCAAGTTGTCAATGTTAATTAGGCTCTGGTGTCATCTGCTTCCTCCCGCATCTGTAGCGATCTGTTTGAATTGTGTCTGTTCTGAGTTTTCCGTATCAGAATAGTTTTCCCTCAAGACCAGCTCACAGTAGGTGCTTATTAGACTTTGCGGTTGAAGGAGGTTGTACAGACATGTGCACATAGAACACACAGTCTCAATGTACATCCAAGCAACAGTCCCCATGCACCCACCCACAATAAAAAAGCTGGCTTGTTGTCCACCTGCTCTCTCTATCTCTGTCCTGGTCACCTTGCCTTAGCACTCCTCCGGCACTTTCCTGGGCCCAGTGGGAGTGAGAAGATTGCCTGGTGGGAGCAGGCTAAAAAAAAATGTTGTGAAGTGCTATGGAGTTTGTTCTAACTCACAGTGACCCTGTATAGGGTTTCCGAGGAGCAGTTGGGGTTTGAACTGCCGACTTTGTGGTTCGCAGTCCAGTGCCCCACCTGTGGTTGGTGGTGGTTATGTGCTGTCAAATCGATTCTGACTCATAGCAACCCTGTGTAGGGTTTCTGAGACTAAATCTTTACGGGAGTAAAAAGTCTCATCTTTCTCACACAGAGCAGCTGACTGAGCAGTTAGCAATCCAACTCATAACCCAATTAGTAACCCACTACGCTAGAGCAGATCAAACACTAGGCTGTTGTTAAGTGCCATCGAGTTGGTTCCGACTCGTAGTCACCCTGTATAGGGTTTCCCAGGAGCAGCAGGTGAGCTTGAACCGCTGAATTTGCGGTTCAAACCAACTTTGCAGTCTAGCGCATTAACCCAGAGCAGTTCCACATCAAGACTCCAAACACGAGATTAGCTGATTGCATTTCCCAAGCCTCCGCCCCTTGTTGCTGTGTTTCTTATAGTGGTCGCAGGCTGCCTCAGTCCTGGGAAGGTTGGAGCAAATGGCAGGTAAGAAGTGGGCAGGTCTCACCTCTCTGAGCATCACTCTGACCCCCACAGACAGACATCTTCACGGTCCACGCCATGGATCTGGGGCCCCTGACCAAGATTCGGATTCGCCATGACAACTCTGGCAACAGGGCAGGTTGGTTCCTGGACAGAATCGACATCACCGACACGACCAATGAGATCACGTGAGTGGTGGGGGCTGGCGGGCAGGGAGACGAGGGAGGCTCTGCCTGTCACTCAGCTGTCCAACCGGACAGTACAGTGGAAAGGGATAGGCTGATGGGGGTGGGCGGGTGTTGGCTGTGATGTCTGCCATGACCACCAGAGGGCGCTGGTTCACACTGCTGGCCAGGTGGGCATTGCCTTCCTGCTCCCACTTCACGGGGCCACCCCGAAACCCCTTGTTTGACCAGAGGACAGTCTTTACAGCATCCTTTCCAGCTCTTGAGGTCCATGCAAAGAGGTCAGCCCTTCACTGACCCCTCTCCCTACCCAGCCTTAACTTAGCTGAAAACACCTCCATGTATAAAACAAAGCGCCATTACTGTTGTTTCAATATTCTGGGCCAAAAGTCAGGAACTTTTTCCGTAAAAGACCAGATTTAGGCTTTGTGATTCATCTGGTCTCTGTTGTAATCACTCAACTCCACCATTGTATCATGAAAGCAGTTAGACAATACATGAACAAATGAGCGTGGCTGTGTTCCAACCAAACTTTCTTTCCGGAATTTGAAATTTGAGTTACATGTAATTTTCACATGCTAGGGAACATTGTTCTTCAGAGTTTTCTTCACCTATTTTAAAATGTAAAACCCATTCTTAGGTGAAGCATGTCCTCACAGCTAGGTTGGGAAGGGAGCATCGTGTCCTTGTGATGGGGGAGGAACTAGGCCCTTTAGAGGTGAAGCCACAGCCCCAGGGCCTGGACCTTTGCTTCAGATCATTCATGTGTTATCTGGTGTTTTCCATCAGTAGGCACTGTGCTTTTCAAACAATAGAAATGAAAGAAGGCCCATGACGTGGAGAGAACCCAGGCAGAGGAAGGCAGAGAGGAAAGCAAGCAAGATCTGGAGAGGGTAATGGGCTGCTTAGGGCCTTCCAAGACCTGGTACCTAGTGGGTGCAAACAGATAGGTATTTGCTGAATTAAATCAACTTCTTGGTCTGCGTTCTGATGTCTCTTGAAGTATGCCCTTTTGCTGGGCACTTCTTTTATGGGACAGAGGGTAAGTGTGTTCACCCCCATTTCCTATCACCCTTTGCCTCATCATCTCAAGAGAGCACCCCAGAAGGGAATACCCACATGCAGGCTGATGTCCTGGGTTTTCGTTGTGGTGGTACCTAAAGATCTGAGTCCTGGAAACTTGAATCCTGGCCTGGCGTCTGTCCTGGGCTAGGAACTCACCAGGTCATCCTGGACACGTTCTTTCATGGGTTTCCCTTTCCTTCGCTGTTCAATGGGCTCAATGGTGGCAGTCCAACTTGCTTCTCAAGATGTTCTGGAAATCTAAGGAATTTAAGTTAGAAAAGGATAACATGCCATAGAACTTTAACAGTAGGGACAAACTGTAAATACGCTTAGCTTCCCTTCACAGCTCAATCAGGGTCATGATTTTGATCCTTAATTTGGCATTTCTGGGTCAAGCTAACAGCTTTTAACTTACTGTAGCTTTGTCCATACTTGTCCTCTTTCACGGTGCTTCACAAATGTTAGCTATTTCAAATCAAGATGTTAAGGGACTTGAAAAAAGAAATTCTATTGGAACTTTGGTTTTATGCCATTAAATGTTTGTGTATAGAATTGCACATTTAGAGTATTAAGTGTGACCACCCAGGGCTGCCTTTCTATTTATCCAAGTATTCCTTTATAATTCTCAGTAAGCTTTACAATTTTCTCCGCATCATTGCTACACATTCTTGTTAAGTTTATCCCCAGTGATTTTATATTTCTATCACTCTTGTAAATGGAAGCCTCTCGGAACTCTTCTTCCCTGCCCTTTCTCTTTCCTTTGTCTCTCTAGTCTCCCCTCCCCTCATGCCTTTCTCTTTCCTTCCCATCCTTTTTTTTTTCCTACTTTTTTTTTTTTTTTTAAGGTTTTTATTGTAGATTGAGTGAAAGTTTTCAGGGCAGATCATCAGTTTTACATTCAACAAATCATACACCTTGTTTCATTACAATGTTTATAATCCCCTCCATGTACCATCAGTTAACAGTATTTCTCTCTATCCACTTTAGCTTTTGGGAAAAAACCCACTCAGACATATATAAAAATTTACATCTCCAAAGGGCACATTCTGCAAGTCTGACTCCTGGCCATGAGCTCTTAGTCCCTCTCTTCCCATAAATCTAAAGTCATCAGCTGCTTCCCCTCTCCATGTCCCCATCTCTGCCTCCATCTCTGGTGTCTCTGCTTCTCTGAATAAGGTCCTGCATCCTGCTTGTGCTTTTCTCCCTTGATGGTCCTAGGGTCCTCTGTTTCTGGACTGTAAGATTAACCA